TGATCGCAGTGTTGTGAGATTGAGCCCCATGTGGGGCTCCGCACTGGGTGTGGAGCCTGCTTGGGATTCTCTCTCCCTCTCCCTCTGCCCCTTCCCCTTCTTCTCTCTCTCTAAGAAAACAAAACAAAATAAAAAAAAAATACACCTATTCCTCACAGAGAAAACCTTAGTCTTACAGTAAGATTTACATATACTCAATGAGATGAGGCAAATATTAACCATTTGCATAAAAACTATAATGTGAAGTATCTTATTACAAAAGTATCGCAGGTAAAGTAATAGCCATTTGGATTAAAAGCAACATATAAATAGATTATGTTATCAGGAAAGGATCTAAGTTTCCTGAAGGAATGTTCTATTTTTTAACTATGCATGCTTATGTTAATGTATTAGAAATAGTCACTGTTATTAGTCCAGATCACTCAGACTAATGAATACAGTATGATTTACCTACTCCATACTCTACCTTAATTTTCATGCCCCAAACACACACCACTAGCCCCACCTTAATCTAAAATAATTAAGTCCTATATGTTAATATTAATATTATTAATTTACTAATTAAAAAATATATATAGTGCTTAGATTATAGGACAGCTGTTATTTAAATGTTCACTACTTGCTGGAGTTTGCACTAAGCACTTTATATCCATTTTCCTATTTATTCTGTACAAAAAAAAAAGTTAGGGATTGTTATACTGATTTTAGAAAGGAGTTATGAATAAGAGAGCTTAACTATTTTCATTGGTTTCTGCTATAATGGCAATTTCAAGTTACAACCCAGTTTTTTTTTCTGCCCTTTACTATCCCATGCTGCACAGAAACATTGTTTTAATGGATGACCTCAAAATTTCTGCCTCTTATTATTTTAGAGCTATGTATAATAATACAAGCCAAAATTTGCCTAACTTGTAACTGTAAAGCCAGAAGTTTCTAAGGTTAAATGTGACCCAGTTACTAGAATAATACCCAGGACCCCCATAGGAGGCCACATTAAAATACCCTCTATAATGTTGCATTATGCTCATGAGATTATTAAACTAATTTTGCCAAATTAAGACTTCACTTTAATTTAATTGATTTACAGTCTATATTATTCCAAAAGTATGAAAAAATTACATTGCTTATTTGATTTCAAAAATTTTCATTCTTTGTCAATATAAGAATGCCACTTACATAACCCATAATGGTTGCTACTATTTCTCTAAAGATTCAAGCATTAATGTATGATACTTAAATAATTGCAAATGCAAAGTTCTTAAGCCGGGCTTCATTAATTCTGTGGACTTGTATACAGAATTTTGTGTGTATGAAATTTATGGAGTACTTACTATGTGGTAAGCACTTTTAAAAAGTTTCTAACATACTGTAAATACTAAACTACTTATCTTACAGTAACAGGGACAATTAAGTAGTTTTAAGAATATATTGAATTCTATTCTGTATCTTTGCCCATAAGTAGATTGTGTTGAGTGTTAAACTGTACACTTGATAGGATTTTAATGTTGAATTCATGTGCATTGTTCAATATTTGGACTTCCAAAAAAAATTCCCAAATACTAAAAATTTACAAAATCTGGCTTCAACACAATATCTGAAGTGTGCTTTTATAGATGGTGGGGATGAGGGGAGGGGTAATTTTCCAGCTAGCAAGCAGCAATGATTATCATCTTCTGGTTTGATTCTATTATTGGCTGAATATAGATTGATGTACTTGTCTCCACTGTACCAATGTATAATGCATGAACACGATTACTGGGGTAATTTAGAAACAGGATGCCTTTAATCTTCTGCTCAGATCAATCAATTACAATACATAGGTTATAGAATGTCCTATGATCTTACACTGAATCCTTAACAGAACTAATCTTAGAGCTAAATGAGGTCGGGGAAAATGTGAAGCCCACAGAGATTGCTAATATGAACACAGACAATGGAATTTCAACTATCGTGTGTTTAATTACTCAGAACAAACAAACAGAGACCACTCTGAAGGTTGTAGAGAAAGAAATAATATATCAGGGAGCAAAAAAGCCACTTTTTCTCTTGAAGCACCACTTTTCCATCTTTAAGGAGGAATTCAAAGGTTTTGAGACTCAATAAACTGTGAAAGTATCAAATTCATACTAGAAACAGTTTGCACTGTTACCTTTTGCATGTCAATACATCTTGTCATATGGCAGATAAATCTGTTTCAAACTGCATTTGGAAATGCCTCTTTCCCTTTAAAGCAATATTCACTCACTGAATTTACTTGCGATTTGAAAAAAGGAATAATTTGCCATATGACCTTGCCATAACCTACTGTGTTATTTGTTTATGCCTTTATACTGTACCTGAGACCTTAATTACAATCTGCACAATATGAAGTTTGTTTAGTTTTCTCTGGAGTTCTTCCTTTTTTAAGTAGCTCCAATGCAGAGCTTAAACTGACAACCATGAGATCACCTGAGCTGAGATCAAGAGTTGGACACTCAACTCACTGAGCCACCTAGGCACCCTGTTTCCTCTGGAGTTCTTGATGCATTTGAGAAGGATGCATTTGAGAAGAATGCATTTGAGCTTGGATTTAGCTAATAAGCTAAGTAGAAAAAGAAGGTGTTTTAGATATGAGGTGCAAATAGCACTGTGGGTATCCAGTGAAGACAAGTAGTGTATGTGAATGTATCAGGGCCACTTGCCTGAGTTTGCTGTTTTATTGTCTGTGGCTGGATGTAGGCAGCGAGCAATTCCTGACGGCTGAGTCAGAGTCAGCACCACGGATAGCTCCGCACGTTTAACACCTGGGAGAGGAACTCCAGCTTTTCACAAGCCCAGCTGCAGCTAGGAAACAGAATGATAGAGTGATCAACTTACACTGCAAAAGGGAATAAAATAAAGCTGTACATAGGAGGAGGGTGCCTTTTTATGTTCCGAGAGAGGGAACTGTACAGATTCAAGAAAGCCCAAGCTACCATAAGAGCCTACGGGTTGTCATAGATTGCTTCTTTTTTTAAGTAAAGCTAATTAACCTGAAAAGTCAACAGTCCCAGGCAGTGTCTCACGTTTCTAACTCATTTTCATTACTCTGACATGAAAGGGTGAGAATTGCTTAGGTTGTTGGGGGTTATTTGGGTTTTTGTTTGTTTGTTTTGTTGTTTTTTTGTGTTTTGTTTGTTTTTGGGGGTTTTTTTAGTTTGTTTAGGGGATATTTTTTTCTTGGCTGTGCTTTCTGCAACATAAAGTTAAAGTCATGTTTATTTCCTCGTTATTTATTGCAATCCACATGATTCACCCTCCTAAACTAAATCTCTCTCTCATCCCTTTTCAGTTCCATCCTCATTTTTTTTTTTTTACTTCAGATTTGAGTTTGTAACTGAGAAAATATGAACCCGACTAATTCAGGGCATAGGCAAAACAGGCTAAGTAGTTGCAAGAACCCCCAACACTATCGTGCAGCTACATGTTTTAATAGAGGACTTAGGACTTTTAGCGGCAGCTGGAAGCAAGAGGTTTGTCCGTGTTCTAGTAGTTCTGTAGGTTGGTAGCAGTAGCAAATTCCATTTAGAGAAAGGGACGTGGAGAGAGACTATTAAAGGTTAAAGGAGATAACATAAACGAAGGGAAACGAAGCAAGAAAAACTAGAAAAAACAACTTAGAAAACATCCTCTTTTAGCATGGCTTGTCACATTTTATTTCCTAAGTCTCCAGGAGGACTATTTAGACAGAAGTGTACGTATACATGGGATTCCTGCCTTGGCAGGCTCTGAGAAACAAGAACGAAGAGGACTGTATTCTGCTCCTTGAACGCTTCCCCATCCTAAACGAGATAATTTCTTAGAAATAGTGGAAGAGAGTAAGTAGAATGGTGTTCCTAGTGTATTCAGGAAATAAGTGGCATTGGAGGTCACACCAAGGCTGGTAACTCTTAGCCCCACCCACCTTTTGTTCCTTCCCCCTTGCGCCCAGCCTCGCCTATTTCAAACATTTTCCTTGTTTTGTACCGGTTGCTCGCACAGTCTCTGGCCTTCCCATCTTTCTCGCAGCCTCCAGCACCTAGAGACCCAGTCAACCCCCAACGTTGCAACTCCTCAGGGTTTCAAGCAATGAAACCGGGCATGCCCAGCGGCGGCGCCAGCAGCCTTTAGTTTTTGGGAGATTTGGCTCAGCTCCGGGCAGGGACTGGAGTGCCAATTCAGCTAGGGCTTCGGCGCCCACCTCCGCGGAGTCCAGGGGATCCGAGCTGCACCCTCAGGCTAAACCTGCACCCTTAAGTGGCTCATCCTCAATCTTGAAACTCCCGAACGCCACCAGAGCTTATAAATAGTCCTCACTGAAGGACTGTTTTCCCACCTGTCTTTTCTTTGCAGCTAAGGGTGTTTTAGCTACTGCGGCGTGAGGAGATCAGGGATGGAGCCCTGTGGCTGGTGGCCGTGGAGATCACCTTCCCAGAGTAGCTGTTTGTCACTGAGTTTTGGAGATTTCTTGGCTGGCTTCCGCTAAAGCACGCTTGAGTAATCCGAACTGTGGCGGCGCCCAAGCTCTCGGGATAAAGCGTGTGTGTGTGTGTGTGTGTGTGTGTGTGTGTGTGT